ATGCGTGGGTATAATCTCTCATGAGTCCCTTGTGATTTTTTGATGACTCCAAATTAATTGTGAACTTTTTTGTTTATAAGAATGTCTGGTATGATAGTTTCTCTCTCTTTTTTTACTTTTTGATCTTTGATGAAGATGAATAAGTTAAATTGAGTAAGCGAAGATAATGAGAAAATTTGCTTACATAACTCATCAGAAGGTTTAGATTTTAACAGTACTCGAACTAGAAAGAAATTTAAAATTCAATGAGCAACATCACATGAATTTCGACAATGCACATGAGTATATAAATTAATAAGTAAATAAATTTTAAACAAAAATAACACGGATTTCATATTGAGAAAAATTAGTTCGAAGCAACATTAGAAATCTGAATATTGCTATTAAAATTTCTTGAAAATTTTACCTTTATTAATTCAAATATTGTGCATGAGATCACTAGTAAGTGCCTGGTCCTGAAAATTTGTTTGATTTTCTATTTTTGCATTCGTTTTTCGTCATCTAATCTTATCTGATCGGACCATCTTAGCTTTTTGTTATTTCCATAAGGGCCGGCATACTTCACGCGACTCGGCAACATTCCAACTGTCCATAACTCATTACAAGCACATTTAAATGTATAGAAGATAAGCCGTTTTATCAAGTCACGTAAATTATATACACTATATATGCATGTGCAGTTTGCTAGGGTTGGATCTGAAGACTTCTGGCGAATTGCCAAATCGCCTCGCGACTGAAATCGCGTGAAGTGTGCCCGCTTTAATGCCTGATTCTCGAGAGTTACTTACTCGGTGTTCTACTTTACTTTCGATGTAAAAATTGATTCAATTCAAACTTGCGAATAGGACAGCAGCGCAGGAGTTAGTGGTCAACGCAATTTTCCGGTATTTTAAAATTTCTCAACCGAATTTCATCGATTTGCTTTCATAATGTTTGCATTTTTTGAATCCAGAGCCACAACTCATGGAACTCACCCAGAGTATGATAAATAAATAGTTAAATCGCAAGTTGTCCTACTTCTTTGGTAATAAACCGGTAAATTTCGATGTCTTTCTAGGTCAACTGTAGTACTCTACCCGTCGTAATACTTAGACGATGTACTTATATGACAAGTTACGATGTGTGAGAATGATTTCGAATACGAGACGAGGATTTTTGATTTTTGTTCAATTGCGGAACTTTTGTACTTTTTCTCATGAGATTGGATGAATTATGTTTCATTTCTTCGAGCTGGGTGTTCCTTGATTCAGCGTTTTGTTATGTTAGGCATGTCGTAAAATTTTTGTACAGTAGACGCTCTCATGAAACCTCTGAAAATTCTATGGACTCTAACTATTGAATTTTTAAGCAGACTTCGATTTGAAAAAGCATTTTTCTAGAACGTTCCACCTGCGGCAAATTGGAAAAGAAAACTCTCTGAACAATTTCCATAGCGTTTTTCATAATTTTGCCCTGTTTCACAGGATGCTTGAATTACACTTATTGGGTGTTTTATTTAGTAGAGCACCACTTAGAGTTTTTGTATTTTATGGAAGTTCAGAAATAATAGCAAGTTCCTTTTCCATTATTGTTAACAGAACTCAAATTTTCGGACTTCATACTCATTTTTCCGTGGAAATCCTTTGACTGGTTTTTTTGAAATCTGATCTCTCGACCATCTTACCTTTTTTGTTCAGATCTATTTTAAGAGCTAGGTAATTTGAAGCTGTCTAAATCTTTTCAGAAATTATTGGACCATAAGCATTCTTGCTTCAATGATCCCATTATTTTCTCCTTATTTAATCTCTAAGATGACGAAAACAGCGCGATTTCAGCTTGAGAAAACAAAATCACATTTTCTCCCTTTTTCTATCTACAGGGTGTCCCAAAAGTATGTATCGAACGTTTGATCGTTAATATCTCTCTTCCCAAGAAGTCTTTTGCCTTGCTGCAAGTACCATTTTGTAGAGCTAGCTTCAACTTAGATTTGCATTATAGAACGAATCACTCATTCCTCTTCATTACTGTAGGATTACGGTAGAAACTTCAAAGAGGGTTTTAAGCAATGAAAGGCCATATTTTGCCTTAGAAAGGAAATAAAACAGCCTGAAAGTTTTCACACTAGGCTAATTAGAGTTGCTGATTATAACTGTAAAGTTTCCAACTTATTATGATGCTTCATTGAGGAGTTATGCCAGGTAAGAGGTAGCGGCCATTTTTTCAGTGTTCCTAAAAAGTGCGATTACACCGTTTAGAAAGCTTTGTAATCTTGTGAATAGTTGAGTATTGAACTCAGCATCCATAAAAACCCTATTACACAAGTTTTCACAATTTTTTGAAGAATTTTGGAACTGCAGCTTTTTCCACATTGACACCATATGTTTCAAGTTTCTACCGTAATCCTACAGTAATGAAGAGAGATGGGTGATTCGTTCTTTAATGCAAATCTAAGTTGAAGCCAGCTCTACAAAATGGTACTTGAAGCAAGGCAAAAGACTTCTTGGGAAGAGAGATATTAACGATCAAACGTTCGATACATACTTTTGGGACACCCTGTATTTTCGAGTGTCTTTCTCGACACTATCTATGCCTTACTTTGTTGGTTATATTTGCTACTTTAATGGGGCTATTTTGATGTATTCATACTGGAACAAATGGATAAATGAATGTGCATCATTTTTGTCATCTTTCCACCAGATTTTTCCGAGTCTTGTCTCCCAGAACATTCATCAAAACCCGGATATATCCGCAGATTGCATTACACAACAGTAGAGCCGTTGATTTATTAGCTGTACTCATCTGTTTACCGTTCAATCATTTATCCACCACAACAGAAGTTATATAATGCACCAATCGTAATCATATGTTACAACTGTGCATCTTCATTTTTCATTTGTTGTCGCATCACGTGATTTTTCTTACTTTTTAGAAAAAAGCCTTTTGCACTGTTTTTACGTTCATGGAAGTTTGTTTGTTCTAATTATAGTAAAAAAAATCTTGTCTGCGCTGTAACGGTCTTTCGGTGATAAAAATATATTTACATTAATAAATCAATAAATAATTGAATAAGTAAATAAGTAAATATAAATGAATACTTACTTAGAATAAGTAAATAAAAAAGATAAATATATCATTTTATAAAAGTATACGATCACTTCGAAAGAATGTGGTTTTACAAGACAAGAATCTCTGAAATTTTGGATGAAAATCTGCTCTTCAAATTTCCGAAAAAAATATTCATCAAACTACATCCAAAATTATGTTTCTACAAATTTCTAGCTTTTGCAGAGAGTCGTCGTACTAGGAGAATTTTTATTCACTTTTTAGACAAATGATAGTGCACTGTAATAGATAAAGAGTTAATTTGCTGTTTAATCAAGGAATGAGTCTAAAAAAATTCTTTTCAAAATTTCCATCAAGTCTCGGGTTGACATTATGTGAAATAATGCTCATTCTCTGTCAATCAGCATCTGTCAGAAATACTTATAGTGATTTTTCTAAATTTTTGTACATCAATTTTTTTCTCAAGATTATTAATATTATCCAGTTCCGTGCCATGCTTAATACCTGGATTTGCGTTGATTTTTTTATGCGCATTATTTATCATCAGTTCTGTGAAACATGCTGTATTTTACAGTTTGTTACAATAGAATCTAATCATTGTTGATTTCCGTTTAGTTTGATTTATGTTCACCATTTATCATCCGGTTTCATAAAAAGCAATGGAATTTCCCGTTTCAGAAAATTCAGAGTTCACATTAAATAAACAATTACATCAATCTTCTCTTTCTGGAAAACTGCGTTCCTTGATCCCTGGTCATATTCGTATTTACGTCTCATCACTTTTTGCAAAATGAATTTTCTAGTTTTTTTAGTTCTGCACAAATTCCAATACATTCTTTTTTTTTGAGACTTTTCCGTTTCAATGACATCTTAAAACTTCCTCCTTCCTTCAAGCTATAATTACAACCGCCACACGTGACATTTGACTGTTCATTGATGTCCCCTGTTTACTGCATTCATACTTTATGACCTGTCGCTCATAAATAAAACAAAAGTACAAATTAGGCATGATGTGCTCTCAGGGTTCAGTTCTACCCCAATTCTTCCTCCTTCACATCCGCACGTTTCTGTTAGAATGGAACATGCCAAATTTTTTTGTAAAAAGTTTTCCTCCATTTTGAATGAGTTTTCTGAATTAATGCGTTGTAGAGGTAAAAAATCATGCATCACAGTAGCGCTCAAAAAAAATTCTCTATTGAAGTACTGTTGAAAAATAATGTAACAATCGAATCAATGTGATAATAAGTTAATGTCAAAAGAGCAAAAAAATCAATGTCAGAAACCAAAAAAAAATATTTGAGATTCCATATTACAAACTGGTAAAATAAAAAGTGAATTTTGGTTCTTTTTTCAAATTTTGTGCGCTAAAAATGCTGAGAGGCCCTTTATAATCCTAGTTCCGACATTTTTGGTTTTGGTTTTCTGACCTATTTTTTCTGACTTTCTCGTTGATCACATCCATTTCGGAAAATTCATATTTTTCAATTTTCTTCAACAGTAAAACCTTCACTTTGCATGATTGTACCATGAATAGTGTAAATTAGGATGTACAGACGTTTCTCCGGGCTTTTTGTACGAGTTTCTACAAATTTTTGGTACGATCATGTTTCAGGCTAGTATAAAGACCCCACGGGGCAAAACAGAGGGGAAGGGAGCCGGGAGGGGGCGAGGGGGGGGGGGGGGGAAAGAGGGTGGTGTCAACTGCCTACCAACATCTTAACGTGTTGTTGCTTACCGTTGTAAAAGTGATACTTTGTTTGGCACACAGTGAAAGTGTAGAGAAGTGAGACGACATTTTTAACCCCCCCCCCCTTCTCCCCCGCATTGATTGACTGGTCTTCCTGATTCAAAGTGTATGTAAACTTTACCATAATCGCTATCTTTTTATCTGTTTCGGGTCACATGTGCTTCGTCAGTTCAGTTCGATGCGTACAATGAATTCATTATATATTGTTTTCAGATAAATAAAAAATGAGTGAATCGTTATTGCCAGATAATATGATGGATGCTATGAATGCTACAGTGATGTTTCCAGCGGGTGAGATTTTTTTCGTGGATTTTTTTCCTTATATTTTTTTCGGAAAATCGTAGAATCAACGGTAAGCATAATGATCTTTTCATGAAACTAGTGAACCAGTACTCCTAAAGGTGCTATTTGAAAGAGCTTTCGCTTCGGGACCCGCCGCGGTTTCTCGCTATTGGAAGATTTTGATTTGAGCTAACGATTCTTTATATATTAAATTCTTGTAGAGAGATGATTTGCCATTTTTAGCATGTCTACGTTTTTCTGTCCAAACTTGAATGTATAAACTGACAAATAAGTAGATAAATAATAAAAAAGTGAATAAATGAAAGAATAAATGAGTTAGCGAATTATATTATGTAGATTAGCAATGAATTTCATTAATTTTTGCCGACTCAATGCTAAATCAATTGCTTTTATCTTCCATTAGGTGGAATATAAGATTTTTCGTACAAGTGTGACTATTTGATTTGTTTTGAGTGTCATTTTAGGAAAAATATCAATATTTTGATAATTTGCAAGGTCCAAGTTTTAATCGCTCATTCTAGAACCAGATTAGTGAATTAGTAATCTATTAACTAGTAATAAGTAAGTAAAGGTGCAAGATTGGAGCACTCGCTTCGGGACCCGCCGCGGTTTCCCGCTATTTGATGCTTTTTGAATTGACGTTATGCTTCTTTATATATTAGACTAGTAAACCAGTAATCTAAAGGTGCTATTTGGAAAAGCGTTCGCTTCGGGACCGCCACGAGGTTTCCCGCTATTTGCAGATTTTTAAATTGCGCTTACCTTTCTTTATTTATTAGATTAAATAAAGTCAAATTTTGCTGGAAATTGTGTAAATTGCGTACTTGGTCTTACTTTACTTTAATTTTTTTCTTCGCATTCTGTCACGTGCTTTCTCTTCGTATTAATGTCATTGTTATACGTCAAATTAATCTTTCATTTCATTACTGTTTGTGAAGTTTGGTGCAACCTTATGACCGCGAAGTGTAAACTCAAATCTGCTCATCTTTGACGTCAAACAACGATTATCATAGATTGATCTTTGCACGAGAACATAATTTATAGAAATGCACTATTATCAAGCTTGTGAAAACAGGAAGTTGATTAAGAGGGGGATGGGGTTACACAATTTTAACTTTGGAAAGAACAAAATATTCAGTTCAAGGATATTCATGAATTTTTGCACTTATATGGCCCAGGCTCGACAAGGTGACTTATAAGCAAGCTGGATATCGTTTTTGGGGCAAAAACAAAGGAGATATGATTTTTGTGTCCGAAAGAAAGCAGCTTAGGCTACGTTTTTTTAGTCGAAGCTTCGTTTTTTTTCTAGGGGTTTTCTACGTTTAGGGTTTAGGGTCAAAAGTGACTTCATATAGTTTTGCGAAAGTCAAGGGAATTCATTTTTTGCATTTTCGGAAAGCCACCTCGTGCCGCACCCTGATATAGCCTATTAAAGTCTGTAAAATTCATAAAATAGTAGTTTTTGTTGCAGCTTGGAATCATGGTAACACTTCTCACAAAATCCTATTTTTCTATGGAAGGATAGCGGAAGATATGAATAAATTGAGATTTATGTTGGGAGATTTTGCAGATTTTCTTGAAATTTTTTTTGAAAGAGGGAACACATGGAGTATGTCACAGAATTTTTGAACAAGGAGTAAAATGTGGATTTCAATTCCTTATGAGTAGGTTCTTTGAGTCAAATTCTGGAACGTCTTTTACGGATATTCTCTACAAGCAACTCATCCGTCCAATATCGTTGCGTAGAAATTTAATGGAAGAAAAATATCAGCGAATTTTTAGACTTGTTGGAGAAATGCGATTTCTGCAGGGGTTATAATCTCGCCAACTTTAAAAGTTGAGTAGATTTTTACTTACCGGTAATTATAAAATCTTCACAAAATTTTCTTGAGAATGTTTTTTTGATTTTCCAAGCTGGAATATTTCTTTCCAATGAATGACGGACATAAGAACAAAGGCTTCCATTCAATGTCTGTGGAAAGAAATTTCCTTATTTTGACGATTTTTTCTTTTCAGTTTACTGTCAATGATCTTGGTAAATTTTTCAGGCACTGTCGAAACGCGACCCACTCAGCTTTGGGAAGTGATCGTTGTGATATCCTGCCCGGTGTTATTTGTTCTATTCTTATGTTGCTGCATTGTCTGCATGATCATCAAAAATTACGATCGTCGTGAGTTTATATTTATTCGCTACGGGACCTGCAACTTAGTAAATTACCCTTCCAATAAAATAAGTCATTTTTTGCACGGGTGCTTGTCGTGCCATGCCGTCAAAACAAGTATCTCCACCTTCACATTACAACGACGACAACATTTTGAGTAGGCATCATGTGATTTCGAGCTGTTTACAACCCGTAAAATTTTGTTTTGAAAAATTTTTTGCATTTCAAGTGTTTTCATCACATGCAAATTATGTTTACATGAATGTACAAAATTTTTATGCAAAAAAATAAGTCGTTTTATGAATTCAAAAGCTAAAAAGCCAGAGAAATTCCCAGTTTCAACACTATGAATCCCCAAATTGTACTTCTACCAATAATTTCTATGCTTATTGATTTTACTACATAATTTCTAGAGCCAGCCGTGGAACCGTTACGACGACGAAATCTTGGACGTATTATGCGACAATTGCCACCACCACCAAAATATGACGTCGGTAAGTAAAACTTATCTTTGACAAAAATTAGAATTGATAAGACTTTTCAATCGATGTAAAAAACTCATCTTTTTTTTTTCGACATTGCAATTACTTTGAAACTTGATAAGTGTACTTTACGTGGTCTGATTGATATTGTGGTAGTCCGAGTTCAAATTCCATGATTAGATCAATCGATTAGAAGACTAGTTTTTTTGTTGGAAAACAATTCTGGGAGCAAAAATCGAAATTAGGGATCTTAGGCGGATGGCACATTTCCAAGCTGCGTCTAGAATTACGCCGTCGCTAGGCCAGTGCTGTGGCGGAGTCCACGTGCGTGCCGGTACAGTTTCGGCACAGCTGTGGCACGGGCAACTCTGGACGCAGCTTATAGGCTCGCTTTTACGTAAAAGAATCTCACCACTCATAACTTGATAATAATCCATATTGGATGATTTTTAAATGATGCAGAATTTAAATCTCATTTATCTGTGATCTATTCGACTGTCATAAAACATGAAAGTTTGTATCACATAAGAATTTTGGCGCTGAAAAAGGTGGATTTTGCGCAAGGCCAGGAGGCATAGTCACACGATTTCAGTCCTTACGCGATCTGGCAATTTTCCAAATTTTTTCAAACACTACATTTTCAGACTAAATACGCATAATATGTATAGATAGATAAACTTCTCCAACTTTTACACTTGAGAATTGCGCTTATTATGAGTTACAAACATATAGAATTGCCAAATCTCCGTGAATGAAATCGAGTGAAGTATGCCGGTGCATAAATGAAAAAGTTACTTCCAATCTTCCCCTTCGAAACTTACATTTTTCATTCCAGCAATCGCCTCCAGTCAATCGCCGCCTCCACTCTATTCTGATCTGGAAAAAGGTGTGATCTTCGACCCACTTCGATCGCTGTCCAGTACTGCACCTTCGTCACCAACAAGTCCAGAAGCTCCTCCAATGGCCATTCAGTACCTCTACCCACCTCGGTATGAACCACCAACAGTGCACCACCACTCGACTTGTCGAGATGCCGAAGACCGAAGCCGATCTTCAACTCCCAGTGAAGCTCGCGGTCGTGCCATCACCCATAGGCCATCCGTTACCGTAATTGTCATGGGTGGCGCTGCATTATGACAATTTTCTCTTTCATAATGCTGTATGAGCGTTTGCTACTTAAGACGAGGCTAATTCTGCTCAAGACCCGCATTCTGAAGCGGTTTATTTAACGTGTACATATAACTGCTCAACCAAGCCATATGAAGCAGTAGGTTTATTCCTGGGAGATATAAAAGTCAGCACACAAGGCAGAATTACTGTAACCCTGGCTGACCAGAAGCTCGCAAAAGTAACTCAGGTGCTTCCAATTTAGTCTCAGAATTTTTTGTGTGCCTGTACTAATTCTAGATATAAACTTTTTGAAAAATGTTTGCTGTATAGTCTTGAAAAATCACATTCCGTAAAAGTGCTCAAAACAATAGCGCAATTTAGAATGCTCTTATTTTGTCACTTGCAAACTATTTTTCTCGTTAACATTTTCACTATCCGCACTCTGATCGTCTGAGGCTTCCAGCGAGAACTGGTCCTCAGATGACTTACGCTTGTGAAACATTGTTTTGAATTTGCACTAGTATCCAAGTCTTTCATCTTATCGCAAAATGCTTCATGGCTTCATCTTTCCATTGATTCATTGCTGTATTTGTTTACCAGTTCTCACTACTGGATGTAATCAATTTTTGTAAGTGTTTCTTTCTCCATTTGACGCTTGCTACTTGCCTCAAATTTGTGAATTCACTATTATCGGGTCTTTCATTACGTATCGGTTGTATAATATCTGTTGACTAGACTCATGGAATACTTTTTAGTGTATGCTGCCTTGTACTGTGTTCAGTTCGCTACATGTTTTTTGCTCTTATGAAGTAATAAACACACTGATATTATATTTATCTCATTTCTATACAGAGCTCGGCACAGCTGGCACCGACAAGCTGGATATCGTTTTTAGGGCGGAAAGCAAAGAGGATTTTGTTTTTTTCGGTGTCTGGGGCGGAGAAGAGCCGTAAGAATGCCGCCTGGCGTTGTTTTCAGCCAAAACACAATAGTATGGCACCAAATTTGGTGTGTGCATGCGCGTTGAGGGACCTGAACTATGACCCAAAAATTTATGAATTATGAATGAAAGTTGTGCTGAACGTTTTTCTAAATTAGCTGGCACCGTGCCAGCTGGGTGCCAGCTAATTTAGAAAACCGACACTTTGCTCACATAAGTTTTCATAATTCTTACATAAAATGTATCTACAGTGTAAAAGTCTGCATACAGAGAAGGAACGACTTCATAATGTTTCTTTACGGCGTTTTATAGCCATCTGAAAATTACTCGGTCTGCTCTGCAGTCGAAAAATCGGCTTTTCTGCTTTTCAAGATATGATTCAACCACTTAAAAAGCTCAGGAAGCTGTGAAAAGTTGTTCCATGAAATCAGCATGCACGAAAACCATACTACATATTTTTAGAAATCTAAAAGTAACGAAGGGTCTTCAATTCAGGTCAAAGGGGTTTTCGTACAAAAGTTTCAAGATCAAACGGGACCTCGTTTTGAAATTTCCCTGGTGCCAGCTCGTGCCGAGCCCTGTTTCTATATCAAATGACCAAATATTAGGATGTTTCAAAAGTTCTACCAATTCTTTTCATACAGGCCAAAATGTGAGCGGAAGCGCTGTTTTGAGATGTGGTCATTATACGCGATGCCATTTTGAATTTATTCTAAGCCATGCAATAATTTCTCATTTTCATTTTCATTTGTACGTTCACCAGGGTCCGGCACAGATGGTCTGGGGTCCAACTGGATTTCGTTTTTGAAGTCAGAAGCAACGGGGATGTCGTTTTTATGAGATTCTGGGGGATGCGCCGATAGAAGAACGAACATTAGGTTATACGAGTTGAACGTGTTCATTCGTAAGCGCGCGAATTTCAAACGCAAAACCCAAACAAACAAATGGCTTGTTTACAGCGCACAAACAACCACATGGCTCCGAATCTGGGCTATGTGTATACAATATTACCAAACTATGTTATGTAAAAAGTTCCCAAAACTTATGTGTTCTAACATCCGTCCCCGAATTCTTGGTTTCTAGACCAACACCAAACCGACTGGGTTGGTTGGGAGCATTATCAGAGAGTTCACATAAGTTTTGGCTCTTTTTGATTTGTACGATTAGAACGGTCAAAAATCTATCATATAGTGAAGAGAGCGAATCAAACTATTGCCTCTCCTCTTTTTTTGGAGCCAAAAGCAGTGTAAATCTATGCGTTGGTAGATATTGCGCTCCAATCGCTCACGCGGTATCCTTTGAACTATACGGCGAAAAATGCATCGCCAGATTGTTGAGGCCACGGATTTATTTGACCTAGGAGGTTTTCGACATTCTGGGCACACTGAAATGGTATCCTATCCAATGACGAAGCCTTCAATCAACTCGAAATGTTTTCTTTTTGCTTTATATTGGGTACCTCAATTGCGCTTTCGCTTTTTTATTGTTATTTTGATTGAATAAAGGTTTCCCTACTGATTTTTACGTTAAGAGGGACTTCGGGCAGTTGAAAGGTGGGTCTACTGGCCCTGGTATAATAACAACGCAAGTCCGAGATCTTTGAAACAATAAAATTATCAGGCGACGCTATACTATAGAAGTAATGCAGTGCTCTTGAGCTGCAAAAGAGCACGTTTTTGGAAAATATACGCCTGCACTTGCAAAGTCTGGGTGAAAACTGCCAGATTCAGCAACACCTAACTACTGTTGCAATACTGGAACTCCACCAGTTTGGAAACGGTTTAGTATCTTCGGTACAGTCGTCCAACAAATCAAGGTCTTAATCCGCATCGGGACACAGCCTGCGCTCTACTTGAAGAGCACCTAGTTAGTTGTCTAGCATTATTGGTACACATGACCAATATATCGTTGTTTGAAAGCTACTTCTGATAATTATATAGGAAGTACAACATAACCCAACCTTTAATGGCGGAAGTTTCAGAACAACCCAGTATAAAGAAAATGAATGAAAAGAGAATGAAAAGCGAAGCGCTCATAAAATAGTGACAGCATTGCGTTGTTATTAAGGTACATGATACCTTAATAACAACCACTCAGTAGAATGAGCAATAAGGTAGACTGTTGCAGCAACATGGAGAAAGTGCGTTTATGAGGCTTTTCTCAATAGAAAGGTTTTCTTACTAAAATTGTTTCATAAAGGTAGCAATATAGCTTACACAGTCATATCGTGGATTACGCATAGATTTCACTTCCCAGAAAGGCTGATGGAGTGCTATTAAATACAAAGCACAAACTGCGCAAAGGGCCACACACAGAAGCGGATTTACCTAGTTATCGAAAATTTTTCGATTTTGCAAATACCCTTATTGATGTATCGTTTTTGCTGAACTTCGAGCTACGGGCTGTGGGCACGAGAGTAAATAAGTGCTGGTCACGCAATAATGGTTTGTAAAGATACCAGCTGCTTTTATTGATTTAATCCAATTTTGCAGACTTTGAGCTACGCGGCTGCGAGTTGGTGGGGGGGGGGGGGACATTACGATTACGAATATGGGGCGAGAGAAGTGGTGCAGGGACAGGTAAATGTTGTGAAGAAGTGGGATGGACGGTGAGTTCTACCATGTCACATCGACAAATCCCGAGCGAAACTGCCGGTATAATGGATCACACGCATTTGAGTAAGGTTATCGCAGTTCCCCTATTATACGTTAAAGCGAAGCAGAAGAGCTGAGCACCTCGCTGTGGATTTTTGGATCACTTATAATGTGACCTGTGCCTATTCTGTTCACAATGAGATGACCAGAAGCGCTGTCATAAACAACTCAGCATGCTTGCTATCCACCCGTACCGAATCCCAGCCCCGTAGCTCAAAGTTCGCCAAAAACGATAAAACAACAAAAAATAACGGGTATGCACAAACAACGCAATTAGCATGCTTACCTACCCACCTTGTCGACTCCCAGCCTTGTAGCTCAGAGTCTGCAAAAAAATCGATAAAATCAATTTCGATGCCTGATGAAAAGAAGCCTACAATGCCTTTCTCACCTTGAAGTGTAAGTGTGCAGTTTGGAGACGAATCTCTCTTGATCTTCAAAGTGTTTGATAAGATGCAGAATTCAAAACCTCTTTTCCTCTGGCTATTTGGAGGAGTTGCTAGCACATGTTAGAGTTATGTCTATTAGCCCTGGTAACTAAACTACAGTGCTGGCCAAAAGGTTGCAGCCACTCCCAAATTTTGCTATAACTTACTTTGTTTTATAGTGAACGGATCCAGATATTGATATTACGTGCAAATAACACTGCTTAACACTATGTCGAAATATCATGCAGTTTCATGCAAACAGAAGAAGGCTGTCGCGAAAATGACGAATGCAGTGAAATTTAGGTTGGTCAAAACTTGCAGCCACTTTCCGCTAAATGTCTTTGAAAAACTTGTCATAGTCCATTATCCTTGCTACAGATGCACCCCTAAGCCTTGAAATATGCAGTGCAACTACCACTCATCAAACCTTAAAAAAGGAGATTTTACGGAGCAAGTTTGCTTGAACGCCAAATGACCACAAAAATTGTACAAATCATAAGGTTGACAAGAGGTAATCAGCTGATTCGTGCTCCTATGGAAAGGTTGTACCATCTGAACCTTTAGTGGCTGCTGCGAATGCGACAGAAAAAGCATCATGCGGCATGCTCCAAAATCTTCCATCATCTCAGCTCAGATTTGGAGCACCTTTCAACATAAATATTGAGCTCAGCGGTCTAAGAAGTTCTCAAACTTGATGAGATCACTGTTTCTGCAAAGACGAGCACTGACCCGACTTTTGCAGGGATTCACTGGAAGCATGGAGGCGTTACTGTTTCGAAAAAGTTTGCGCGAATTTCACAACTGATTTTTCCCTTTGGTAATCAAACATTTCCTTGATGTGACAATCGCAAAAAATTTCCTTTGGCTGTAGCGCCCTCCATGTTCCCAATAAAGCTCCGCGAGTTTCGGGCAAGTGCTTGTCTTTGTAGAAGCAGTGTTCTCATCAAGTTTGAGAACTTTTTAGACCGCTGAGCCCAATTTTTAAACTGAAAGACTCCGAATCTGAGCTGAGATGGTGCTAGATTCTAAAGCATGCCACATGATGCTTAATCCAGAGACTAATCCGAGCATGTACGCCATTTCGCGACATTTTAGAATGAGCCAAAAGTTTACAATTCACGTGCAGTTATTTGTAAATACATTCTAATTATGCACAGCGATCACAATTAAATGAAAGTGCTCAAGAAAGCAGTGAGCACTGAGGCGCAGAAATGTGAACTGTGTCAAATAAGGATTGTCAAAAAGTGATACGGGTCTCCATGAGGAGTCCTCCATATATTGTAATCTGATAGCGTCTTCTTGGTACGCCAAAGCTCTTAAAAAGCGCTAGGATGCACGCACATCTCGGTGTGGTCATAAGTAGCTGACAGTGCACAGTCAGAGCTCGCTAAAAGGTTGCCTCTGATTCACAAGCTCAACAGCCAAAAAACTTAGGTAATCGACCAACTCAAAAATCTTGATTAGGTCGACTGATATAACTACAATTACTTTCCCCTTGCCCAGCGTATTGACCCAATTCCGTCCACATACTATCAAATAAACGGACTTGAAGGTTTAAAAATAGATAAATCCTTTTTGTCTAGAGTGAAATT